GATGAGAGAAAAAATTTTTTTCCTTAAAATATCCTCCTTGCAGAATATCTGTAAGGAATGTAATGTCATTTGCTCCGGAGAAAAATTATTTTATATACATGAGCTGCAGTCTTATGAACATTTACTTGAATATAGGTTCTGGTGGTATGAGCCATTGGAAAACATACATATTATGTTAAAGAAATCTGGACATTTTCTGTCTTTATTCATTACTTTCCAAGGTTACCTGAGAATGATATTGTCAGGAGGTTGGGCTGAGAAAGAGGGACTGGCCCAGAGTCACCCAGCTGGCTTTTGTGCCTAAGGCGGAACTAGAACTCTCAGTCTCCCGCTTCCTCACCTGGTGCCTTAACCACTAGACCAAACTATTTAGTAGCTGTTATTGTAAAAGATTTCTTCCTAAATTTTAAATTGTAAAATCTCGAATGGAGCAATGTCTTTGGTTAGTTTGGGTTTTTGGCATTGGGGGTGGGGTTGCATTTATACTTTAAAAAACAAAATCCTTTTCCACAGTTCTAGAAATCAGAGATGCAAGGATCATATGGAGAATTGGAATGTGATTATATCTATTTAAGGAATAAATTCCTCTTCTATTAATACATTTCCTCAAATAACATTTTCCCCACTTGCAAAGTGAAGTGAACAACCACAGTCTTCCAAATGGCATACTCAGCTTTTTTGTAGGCTGTGCATTATTCAGTTGCCTAATTCTACTGCAACTTCTACTGAGACTGGTTTCCGGAAGTAACCTTTCTTTTTACATACTAAGGAAAAAAAAATCTCTGAAAGTGCACAATTTAATTGGCCACCATTTGGAAGATTCCTCTTTCTGGGTGAAACTTTTATTGTAAACTGCCTTGCATCCCTCTTGATTACTGATTAATACACATTTAGTACAAAGTTGTTCATACAATGATAGAATGTTTTTTAAACAGTAGAACTATGAATGTGGTTGCCACTGAAAATTGGGCATTTGTAAAATAATTTTGGAGTCTGACTCTTCCATAAATGTCTAGCACATAACAATGTTTTAGAAAGTAAAAGATTCTCTTTTGTTTTATGTGAATGCAGGGCATCGGGCCCCTTTTTCCAAAGTCCTCTTGCATGCATGGAGAAGTACTTCATACTAGGAGGAGGAACAGGAGAGTTTCTCAGAGTCTTAAGGAATGTTGAAAGCAGAAGGAGATTGGTGTGCTGCATTAATCTTCAGTCTGGTGGAACAGAGAGAGATAAAATACTCTCTTTCCAAATTATCTACATGTGCTCAGATGACTTCAAGGAATGCAAGAAGGAATGGGAAAAATCTTAATCTTTGGCTAGCTATGTGCCTCAGTGAAACAGTTTTGACTTCCTTTTTATCTGTTAAGAGCGTAAGGATAATTTTGAAGATATAGCAGGAGAGCCTGTGACAGTGGAGGGAATGCTTTTGAACTGGTATGTACTGAGCTCTGTTGATAATATAGCATTGACATTCAAATAAATAAATTGGATATTTGTTCAAGTTTTCTTTGGACACTAATATATCTTAACATGGAAATCTAGCTAAGATGGATGATCAGACCGAGATCTAATAGTTTGATTGGATAGGGTTTTTTTCCCCTTCATCTCTTTAGATGCAGTGAAAAGTAATAGCTAAGCAGTCTCCTTCACTGAGTAACTTTCATCTGCAGTGGTGTAAAATTCTATGTATTCCCTTAGGCTTAGTTTCCTGTTGCTAAATATTCTAATGTCGGCCAACAGTGTGCAAAAAAGCTGTGATACTAGGAGGGCAGGATGGTCGCAGAGAATAGGGTCTGTATTTCCACCTGGCCCACCCTAGAAAATATTGAGATTGAAATCTGGATGTGGGTCTCAAACATTAGTGATAATTTTCTATGTGCCAAATCTGTTTCTGGTTTGCTTCTGGTTCAACCTTGGGTTAAATTATCTACTTGGATAATTTCTTTTCCCTGTTACTGCTTTGTGAGTTGCCTTTCAAGCTGGCTATAAAGCTGTTTAGTGCTTTATATGAAGATTTTCTGAGGGTTAACTTTGGGTATTGCTTGTATGCCTAGTACATTCCAGCCTGACACTCTGTAAAGATTTTGAATACACACAGTTCAAGTGATACACAATTCATATCAAGGTCAGGCTGCTTAACTTGGGAAAGAGGCGCAGTAGCCTAGAGGTCTGCGCTGTCTGGGTCAGCATAACATAGATGATTGCAGGAATTATCTCCAGTGTGTAATTATTTTCAGAGAACCTTTTCAGAAAATTCTTCATTGAAATAAAATGTAACAGGAGAACATGGGCAAATGTCATTCCTCCTTGTTACTGACGTGACATTTCACTTTTCCACATGTTGTTTAAAGTGACTTCTGAGCTGGTAGGATTTGTAACAGATGTCTTTCTTTTTAGCATTCTGCTCTTTCAGCTGGAAAATATGTGTTCATATTTTAATTGTGGGGCATAAGTCACAATGGCTGTTGAGCATTTGTTCGTAGAAGCATCCACAAAAGTCATATGGGTGCTTTTTTATAATGTTGTGTTCAGCACCCAGAGGGTTGCTTCACATCTTCATGGCCATTGTGCAGTTCATGCCATTTTGCTGAAAGTAGGAGTCATAACTATGACATATTTCCTATCTGAAGATTATGCCTCTTAGAAACATACTTCCTATACTATGTGTACATCTCCTGTAATAGCACACAGCATTGGAATTGTTTTTATTTATTTATTTATCAAATTTATATGGCCACTCATCTCACAAAAAGTGACTCTGGGCAGTGTACAGCAATAGTAAGACAATAAATATATTAAAAATCATTATAAAAATATAAAACAATCATAAAATACAGTATAAAAACCAAGGCACAGGAGAGAGCAAGTATTAGCTACAAAAATGGAGCCATCTAAGAATGTCACTGGTCTTCCGGGACCCCCAGGCTTGAAGACATAGCCTGGTCTTGAGGGACTTCTGGAACATTTTAATTGAATTTCACAAGCTTCTGATTAATTTTATGTGCTTCCCTATTTTCACTAAAGCATAATTCTTTACAAAGGGTTCAGTATTCTTTATCCTTAAGGTGACTTGTGTCATTTAAGAATATGTTAGTATTTATCTTTGCACTGAATTAGAATGGCTTTTTCAGAGCACTGAGGCTTAACACCTTTTTAGATCACTTGATTAGATTCCAGAGGTGTGTCTGTTGTGTTTGCTTCACAGTTTCCGACTCCTAGTCTCCTTCCAAACTAAATTCACTCACAGTCCTGAGACAGTTAGGCATCTCGGAGTAGGTATGGTTTCTCTTGCTTTTGGGAAGCATGAACCATTTTCTAGTAACAGAACAGTTTAACAGCAGAATATGGGATTCAGATTGAGCTTTTTCTCTCTTCAGAGGTGAAAATGGTTGTGAACTTCTTGCCTTTCAATGCTGCCTGGTCTGTATGGAGGGTTTTTCAGCTGCCATTCTTTGCAGTGTTTTCTAACAACCTAATTGTCAATGTTTACATCACCTTAGCATTTTTAACTTGGTGTCCTTTTTAGTGACACTAGAAGCTGTTGATGCTTATTTTAAGGACTACAAATTAGAAATTCTAAAGAAGTATTTTTTTTCTTATATGTTACTGTTATGGGGTCTGGCAAACTGAGGCACTGAGAAATTTTGCAATCACTTTGATCCTTTAAAAATGTGCTGCTGAAAATTAGCCATTTTGTTGCAGAATTTTGGCAGCTGATCTTGGGATGCTGGGAGTGTACGTGGCCTGCAGGTTGTCCACCTCTGTGTTGTGTTGTGTTGTTGAAGCCTGAAGTTTATAAGGAAAGGCCAGCAATTACAGGGGCATTTAATGAAGCTTGACATTAAATATATTTTATGCGTTTTAGTTATAGGGAAGATACAACATAAAGTAGAGCATTTTCTGATATGTTTTGGTGAGTATAATTTGCTGACTTAAAAAAAAAAGCATCTTTTTTGCACCAAGAGAACCAGACATTACTTTTCTTTCTGTTGAATTTTATGTTAACTTTATTTCAGTCTTTCTTTCTACAAAAGACAGAGGTTCACAAAATTCTGTACTGATCATCTTAACAAGTGCTGGGTTTTATTCCATTCAGTTGTATGACTCTGTACAGCAAAGGAAAAATTGAATGGTGTGGAAGGAAGGGGAAATTGATAACATATTCCAGCCAAAGAAAGTGGGCCTGTTATCCCAGAGCCGTTGTATTTTGTGGAGTTGTGCTGGGAGGAGGCAAAGGAGAATCACAGAATAATTGTTGAGAGAGGTGTATAAAATCAGCAGAAGGAAAACTAACTACCTTGACACAGGTGGGCTGTTCTGAAACAGTCCAGAGAAGCATCCTTGAATCTCCATATTCGAGCTTGCCTCAAAGTTTACAGCAAACAAGCCCTTGTCTGTGCTCAGTGCTACTTTTCTACCTGCTGCTGGTTGCTTGAAGCATTTTCTGAAGTTTTTCCTGCCTGCACTTCCTTGCAGCCAAGAACATCTTTAGTAACAGCCCCTTCTGTGTTTAATAATTTTCCCTTCCTGGGGGGCGGGTGGAGCTATGTGGCCCCAGAACAATTCTGTTCTATATTCTGTGCCCATCCCCTTTCTAGGCATGGTGAGTATTTTGTTGAGTGGGGCAAATGACATCTTGAAGGGAGGCAATTTAGATATGAAAAACATGCAGGGGGAAAGGCTAAACAGTCCCCTCAGGGGACACTGACTCATTTGAGTTGTCCTGTACCCATCCTCGTGATTGCATTAAAAAAACCCCAAAAACCAGAGATCCAGGACCATGAGTCTCTTGTGTCTGGTCTAGCTCAGCCCTGAGGCAGCGGTTGAAAGAGTCTGCCAAACCACTCTATTATTTTAAATATATGTTGGCATGCACTTAAACTGTTACAGCCTAAAGTTCATCCCAGTTAGCTTTGCAGAAAGGTTAAGCCAGTTTCTTGCCTTTAAGTGCCAGTTGAATATCCTTGGATGAGTTTTTGTACCTTAAACCTGGGATTTTCTCTCTTTTTTTCAGGTGCTGGAAAACTATTCTGATGGACCCATGACCCCAAAACAGATCCTGCAGGTTATAGAAACCGAGGGCCTAAAGGAAATGAGGTTAGTCTTGTTCTTTCTCTTAAGTCAAAGGATAGGTAGAACTAAATTGACTTGTGTTCCCTAACCCTCTTCTCTTCAGCCTTTCTGCTCAGGCATTTGGAATACCTAAGGTGACTTTTAGCTTTGGTTGGAGGATTTCCTGCACGTCTTGGATAGTGTCTGTTGTTCAAGCCAGGATGCTTTGTTGAGTCTGTAACAGCCAGCAGCAGACGTCCAGGCCATGGGGAATGGCATGGTTTATCTCTGCAGGGCTGGAGTGACAGCCCTATCCATTTAACACAGCTTAAGTTTGTACAACCTGTTTGCTTTATTTTTCTAAGACAACAGTTACAACTGTTAAGTGTTCTTGTCCTGATAAGCTGTTATATTTGACAGGGGCAAATGCCATGCTTACAACAGATAATTGTTTGTGCTCTGTTCTGGGCATTCAATTCCTTATATGAAAATGGTTGCTGAATTCTTGCACCATTAGTTTTGTCTAGTGAAATATTTGCTGAAGCATTGTTCCTCATCCTGGTGCTTTCCAGGTGTATTGGGATTACAATTCCCAACATCTCCACCCAGCTCTAGCCCATACTGACTGTGAATTGTCCAACACATTTGGGAGACACTGGTTTGAAGAAGCCCACCCTGGAGTGTCTGATTATTGCTGTTTGCTTGACCACACAAAGGGATTCTGAGATGGGTTCTTTTCTCCCATTCTCAGCGGAAAGAGAGGCAGAAAGAGGAGGAAGCCAACAAAGAATGGATGAGGACATGTTACGTTTATAAGTAGCAATCCTACTGTAGAGTTCAGGCTACTTACTTGTTGTTACGTACAATAGATTCATATTGTGCAAATATGTGCTACAAATATGTAGCCCACCCAGCACGAAATGAAAAATGTCTTCAGTTTTGTTTCCTCATCATAGAATTTGAGGATATAAGATCAGCCCCACTCTTCTATCCCTGTCAGTTCCTTTGTTACATAAAAGCCAGGTTCACATAATTCTTTAAATCTGAGTTAATAGGCTAAGACAGTGACTGAGTTCCCACAAGCCGTTAACCCATAACTCCAGTCCAGCCTAGCCTAATGAGTTCTGCAAACCTAGCTCCTGAGCAATCAGTGAGATAGATGGAATCACAGTCTTTGCACGGAGTTTGGAGGAAGGTCTCTTTCAGTAATTATAATTTACCTTCATATGTGATATGGTCAGTGGTCACTGCAGTCCTAGGAAGCCTGAGATACTCATGTTCCTTTTGCCAATCCACTAGCTTTTGATTCCCCAGTTCTGGTGTGGAGTAACTATTGCTGTGTATGTCAGGTATAAAGCAAAGATGAGGTATAAATCCTTAGGTAAACAAGAGGCTGTACTGGTCTGAATATTCTTATATGAGCCAGAAAACTTGAGTTAGGTCCAGTGATGACCATAAGTGAGGTGAACCCAAGCCAATGTTTGTTGGAGCTTTAACTAAAGGATTGTATCTTTTGGGGAGATTTTCCCATGGAAATAATGTTGACAAAATCTGTTAATTATACTCTGAGCAGAAAAAGATGCTTTAAAAGCCCCTTTTAGGTGACTCTGATCCTCACTTATATGAGTTCAGCACACTGATCAAAAAGAGTAGCCATGTTTGCATGTAGCATTAAGCTCCGGTTTACATAGTCAGTATAATATCACTGTATAATATTGTCTGTATAATACAGACAGAACTGCGAGAAATGCAGGATGAGTGGTGGAGAGGAAGGCTGAGGAGATGGAATATATGCAGGCATGCATGTTATCAGAGAATTCTTCAGCACCATAAAGTCAGTTTATGGTCCTTCTAAATGAGGATGCTCCCCCTTGCTGTCATCTGATGGATCGAGCCTGATCAAAGACCACGAAGGACTGAAAAACTGCTGGGCTAAACACTTTTCCAACCTATTCAATAGGCCGTCCACAGTAGATCATGATGTTTTACAGCAGATTCCTCAGCTGCCAACCTTGGAAGTCCTAGAACTGCCTTCCTCTACTGATAAAGAAAGTGATCTCACAGATGAACTCAAATAAAGCAACAGGGCAGGATGGCATTCCTACTAAGATCTACAAAGCACTAGACCCAAGCGCTTTACAGGCGTTCCAAGATATCTTGGAAGACGTTTGGTCCACAGAGGAGATGCCTGATGACTTCAGTGATGCCCTCATTGTGGCTCTCTATAAAAATAAGGGAAGCAAATCAGACTGTGGGAACTACAGAGGTATCTCACAGCTGTCCATTGTAGGCAAGATCTTTGTCCACATTCTCCTGAACAGACTTGTCACTGTCTTGGAAAGGAACCTCCCAGAGGCACAGCATGGCTTTCGGCCAGAATAGAGTATAGCAGACATGATATTTGCCATGAGGCAAGTCCAGGAGAAGTGCATCGAATAGAACAAGCCTCTTTACTCTGTCTGCATTGACCTGACAAAGTCATTTGACACTGTAAACAAGGAGGCTCTCTGGAACTTCCTGAGACGTAATGGATGCCTGAGAAAATTCGTGAAGTTGATTCAGCTACTCCATGACGGAATGACAGGATAGGTTCTTTACAATGGTGATACATCAGCTGCATTTGCCATTTCCAGTGGGGTGAAACAGGGTTGTGTGCTAGCCCTCAATCCGTTCTTCACTCACATGTTGTCACATGCTGTCCGGGATCTGAAGAAGGGAGTATATATTAAGTACTGATTGGATGGCTTTCTCTTTGACCTTCGCCACTCGAACGCATGGACGAAGTGCCTTCGTACAGTCATTCAAGAAACCCTCTTTGCTGATGACTGTGCACTTCTGGCACACAAAGAGAGCAATCTACAGTTGATGCTGAACAAATTCTCAGATGCTGCTACGCTCTTTGGCCTGACTATCAGCCTGAACAATACTGAAGTACTTTACCAGCCTGTGCCAAATACCAACCCTGTAGAACCAAAAATCAATGTTGAAGACATCCAGCTGACAAATGTAAACAGCTTCAAATATTTGGAAAGCATCTTCAAATACTTGGAGAGCATCATCTTGAGCGATGGGTCTTTGGACAAAGAAATTGACTCCAGGACCAGCAAGGCCAGTCAGGCACTAGGGCAGCTGTGTACTAGAGTGCTCAATCAACACAACATCTGTATCCCCACAAAGCTGAAAGTCTACAGAGCTGTGGTTATCCCTTCTCTCCTATATGGATGTGTGTCCTGGACTCTGTACCAAAGTCCATCAAACGCACATCAGACAATTGGAGAAATTTCTCACGTGCATTCTCTGCTCCATCCTTGGTATTTGTTTGCAAGACAGTGTCTCCAACCCAGACATCTTGGATCAATAGAAGAGAATATATATAGCTCAGGGTTGAACTGTGGAGTCCTTGGGGTTCTCTGAGCTTGGTTATTTGCTCGCAGACGTTTTGTTACCCGTCTAGGCAACATCTTCAGTGCTAGAAGGGAGTGGGGTTTGCCCTCTGTTTATATACAGTAGCTGTCAATGTTGGTGGGGGTGTTGTTTTTTCCTTGGTAGCTCCTAGGTTAGGCTGCTGTTTACTGCTTGATTGTTTGTCTTGAGTTTGTATTTCCTTGGTTAAGATATTGTTTACTGCTTGATTGTTCGTCTGGTGTTAATCCTGATGTTAATCCCTGTTTATCTGGGTATCGATTGCTGACAAGGAGGTGTTCTAGCCTTTTTGTTTCCTTTTTATTGTCTCTTTTGAATAGTGTGTAAATGTTTATTTCTATGTGCCTGTTGATGTGTGAAAAAGGAAGCAAAAAGACCAGAACACCTCCTCTCCAGCAAACAACATCCAGAGAAACAGGGATTAACACCAGGATTAACACCAGACGAACAATCAAGCAGTAAACAACAGCCTAATCTAGGAACTACCAAGGAAAATACAACACCCCCACCAACACTGACAGGGCAAGCTACTGTATATAAACAGAGGGCAAACCCCACTCTCTTCTAGCACTAAAGATGTTGCCTAGATGGGTAAGAAAACATCTGCAAGAAAGCAACCAAGCTCAGAGAATCCCAAGACTCCATGGTCTTGGATTGTGTGGAGTCCGCTAGCATTGAGTCCCTGATTATCAGAGCCCAGATTCGGTGGGTGGGACATGTCATCAGAATGGATGATCACTGTATGCCTCACCAGTTGCTCTATAGCATACTGGAGTCTGGGAAGAGACTTTGAGGTCACCCACGCAAGCACTACACAGATGCTGTGAAAGAAACCCTACGCCGCTGTGACATCCAGCCAAGGGAACTAGAAGTTGCGGCTGTTGACAGAACCTGCTGGCAAGCCCTGCGCTATGAATCCTCCACCTGCTTTGAAGACAGGCACCACCAAAAACAAAGAGAAAACGGTGAGCAGGTCACAGAATAACACCCACAGTTACTACAACAATGAACTTCCAATGTCCTCATTGTGCTGGATTCTGCACTTCCAGACTGGGACTGCAGAGCCACCTCCATGTCCACAGATGAACTGCATAAGAGTGTGTCTTCTTCAAATCTGAAGGACTACCAACCATAATATCACTTCCCACACCAAAAAGTTACTGAAGTGAAATCAGCCACAATTTGTTTCATTACCCATAACATTCCACAAAGATGACCGCAGTTCATTTTCTCCATCCATGTTTTGATAATCTCACTCCAGAAACTTTTACACTACAGAGTGAAAAATAATTCCTTTAATTCTTCCTGGCAGTCTTCAGAACATGGTAACTCCCTTCCCCAGCAATCCCAAATCAACAGGATATTTGACTGCTGCATTTTTAAACCTTTTCCTACCACTGTGAGAAATGGGTAGGGAATATATTTCTTCATAAACATTAATGATGAAATAAATAAAATGTTTACAAACATTCCAAGCTCCAAACTGTGCTTTTTCTCCATCACCTGGGAGACATCTTGCCCCACACTGAATGGAGCAGATTCTCTGGCCATCTGAATACTAGCGCACAGTTGCATTACTGACTGCGTTTTGTTTGGCTTTTTCCACTCTTTTCTTTCCTAACCCTCTTAGTTCACTTTAATATGAGGTGGGGGATGCTAGATCTGCGGGGTCTACTCATATAATATCACCCCACTGCTGTCTCACTGAATGGATTTCAACCCCCCACTCCTAAAACTTGTACGGGCAGTGAAAAGCACACAGGCCTTCTGTTGTAATAGCACTGAAAACAAACATGAAGTTAGGCCTGATAATTTTACAGAAAGCTCAGAGGGGAACTTGAGGAAAGAATGAGAGAGTTGATCATGGCCCCAGATGAAGTGGGTGATTTGAGTTCACCTGCTTCTGATGCAAGACTGCTTCCCAGAGTGAACTCGGTGGCTTTGGAGGACAAGAACCTTGGTTACCTTCAGTTGGATCATTCTCAACCCCCTTCCTGGGAAGCAGTAGGGTTCCTCAAGGAAAATGTTGAGGGTGTAGCAGACCAGGATAATATCCACAAGTAGGGTGTCTTCAATGTCCTGTAAGATATAGAGCCTGAGTGGCAATCTGACAGATTCTGCAACTCGACAGAAGATAAATCACTTCTGAAAAAATATGAACATTTACAGAGTTTCTCTGGAAAGTTATGTGAGTCTTTTTCTCAGGGTTGGGATGTTTCGTTTTTTGCTAGTCAAATCATAGGCTGATGTGTATTAATTGTGCTGCCATTTAATGGCTAACTCAATTTTTACTGTAGGCCATATTTTGCCAATTGTACTCCTTTGTTTCTTTGTGGGGAGTAAGAAACAAGTGATCTTTGAGTATCTTTTCTGATCATAGGAAGGAACAGATGCAAATAAAATTGGGCTTGATATGTTCCAGTGGTGAGTGCAGAAGGGCTTCCTTGTTGCTTTCTTTCCCTTGTGAACCCTTTTTCTGTCCGTCTCTCGGTACACTGGGCCCATGAAAGCGGGGAGGATAGTCAAACATTGGGGAAGAAGAAAGCTGTGGATAGTCCAGATCCAAGGGCTGATTTAAGGCAGAAATTACATTGTTCATTTTGAATACTGTTCCGTTTTGGTCTGTTGGCAGAAAAGTTCTTCTAGGCAGCTCTTTAATAGTTTGCTTGGTTTACTAGCTTAGTCCTTTCAGTATTGTTATTTATATTATTGTAGGAGACTACAGTGCCCTTGTAAGATAGAACCTCTTCCTCTGTATTTACTCCTTTGTGGTTCTGGCTAATGTTGTCTAAATGAAGAAGTGGCTTTGAGGGGCTTTATGAATGCAAATCAGCAACAGTACTGTTGTCCTGTCTCTCCAAAGAGTGGATTCACCTGCCTATCTGTGGAAAGTACATAGTTCTGTAGTTAATATTCTCTCCTCAGCTTGTATTAATCTTCTAATCTGGGGAGAATTGTTTATAACTGCTAAACATGCAGATGAGATTCCCCTCAAAAGTCATATCGATTCCCCCAGAAACAGAGTAATTTGGGGGAGGGGGGGAATCAACAAATTAAGTTGAAGGGGAAGTTTTGTACAGTAGCACATAATTTTTCAAAGTATAAGCCTACTTCCTTTTTTTTAATAAATTGAAACTGAAATACTCTTGAGGATTTTGTGTTTAAGATTGAAAAACATATCTTAGAACAACTTTCAACTGTTTTTCTTAGCCTTTTCTTCTTTACATAGAGATCTCTCTTCTGATCTCCAGATGCTATAGGTTATTTTCTTCCAATTGTATTTTAACAAGATTACAAAAAAAATAGAGTACAAGCATTCAAAACATAAAATGAAGGAAATACTAGAGACAATAAACAACTAAAAAATCTGAAGCAAAAAATAGAAGAGAAAGAAGCCCCCCAAAATGTAAAAAGTTAAAAAAAAAAAAAACTAAAAACCCAGTTTAAAAAAAAAAAAAAACAATACCAATTGAGGCGACTTTGTGTAGCTCAGGGTTGAACTGTGGAGTCCTTGGGGTTCTCTGAGCTTGGTTCTTTTCTTGCAAATGTTTCA